AAAAAAAAAAAAAAAAGATCGTAGTAGAGGTGCCTTTTTTTTCGAAAGGGAAGAAGAAAAAACAAAAATTATTGAAAAATATCATATCAAGCATCAGGAGCAGCACAAATAAACATGAGAGGGCAGTCTCAAACACAATTTCTTCCTGATTGTCTTTTACTTTTCAAAATTTCAAATTTTCAACCAGTGACTAAGTGAGACGCTGCCTACTGCACATCTTTGTTTTTCTCCTTTTTCTTTCTTAACATTCATTCACTCAAAACGCAAATCATTGAAATCTATTTGCTAGATGGATATGGATAGAGAATGCATCCACCTTTCTACCTCACACACACACACACACACACACACACACGCACACACACACACACACACACACACACACACACACACACACACAATATCACTCTTATGTATGCTTTCTTTCTTCTTTGTATTTTTTCAAAGCACTTTTGTGTCCCTAGCTGAGAGCACCCTTAAACCGCCAGTTCACCCGGACCTATTTCAACGAACCAAAACTTTATATTATCCAAGCCTCTAACAGACTGGTACTGGCCTGTGAAAAAAGAACGTGGTATCGGTACCGGCCTCGTGTCTGTTCAGCACAGCTGGACCTGAGATACAGCACATGGGCCGTTACTAGTCTAATTCGGCAATTTCGTTTGTTTTCGGTTTGCTTTTTTTTTCTTTTTTTCATGTTTTCACTCTCGGTTCGGTACCCCTATGAAACGACACGGTAACCTGGCCCCGCTGTCCCCCTGTAAAAGTTATTGCTAATGTGTCACGAATGGGCACAGTTCCTTTGAGGCTGCCGCGTGTTCCATTTGCAGCAAGACGTTGTAAGTCCCTCGAATTGTCTTCGATGGTTCGTTGGCTACTATAGCGGGGCAGTAGGCCTTTTTTTTTTTTTTTTTGGTGTGTATGAGAGAGAGAGAGAGAGAGAGAGAGAGAGAGAGAGAGAGAGAGAGAGAGAGAGAGAGAGAGTAGTAGCAGCAGCAGTAGTCTTCTGCTTCCCCCATTCGATAGGAGTACTGTCTTCCAGCGAACATAACGCAGCCGCATACAAATGTATGCGGGCTATGTTTATGGTTTGATGCAGCAAAAGTGGGGGTGTGTTAGGTTCGGGGGACGGCGGTTGTCCAACAGACTCGTCATGATGATCTTTTTTTCTATTTTTTTTCTTTTCAAAGTTTTTATTTTTTCCCCTCTTTACGTGGCTGGTGTTCATGGCTGTGTTTCAGGCGGCCACATGTCGCGTGGACTATATTCATATATATTGCCTTCCCCCAAATATAACGCACCCTTACTTTCGCTGCACCAAACCAGAAACAATAGCCCGTACACATTCATTATGCAGGGAAGCAGAAGACTAATACTAGAGAGAGAGAGAGAGAGAGAGAGAGAGAGAGAGAGAG